CGGCATGAATCTGAGTAACTCGGCCCAATAGTACCGAGTATTATAGCAGCAAAAAAAAAGTTAAAATCTTTTCAAAACATATAAAAAATCCAAAGAAAAAAAAATGATCTATATGTTTAACACAAGATTAAGCAAAAAAATCAAATGAGGTTAAAAAAAAGCAATTAAAAAATGATTTTAAAAAATCAACTTGTGACAGAGGGGTATTTTTAAAATAATTCAAAAAAATGGATAAATGTAAAAAATAAGTATTTATGGCTAAAACACTTTCCAATCTTTGTCAAAATGATAGAAAACATAAAAAAATATCATATATAAATTCTTTATTTTTTGGGTTTTTATGATTTGTTTTAAATATTTTTTAATATCCCCGAGTGGGACACCTAACTAGGGGAAACTCGAGCTCACCGGGGTGGCGAGTCCGACTACTTGGGACTAGGACCGAATAGTCAAACACTGATGGCAGCTGTCCCGAATTTCATAAACCAACCAGAAAGAAAGAACATTCTCCTATGCGAAGCTCTTCTTCTCCATATACAAGAAAACCCTAACATTGCGATTTGATAGATCACATCAATGCTCTTATTATTCAAAACAAGAAAACATGGGGTAGTGGACATAGTGATCCAGAGTTTCAAGAGTGTGACAGTCTGCATGAAAAAGGTTGGATGGTTTTATGCACCATATTTTCTTAAGGTTTTGTTCTACTTCACCAGGAACTCGGCGCCTCTTCACTAATTTTTTGCAAGTTGTAAAACCGAAACGTCAAGAAATTTATAGATTAAAGTACACAGGTCTTGCCACGCATACACCCTACAGATATGCCAAGCGAAAAATCTTCACAGAAAATTGTAGTTATGTTTGATTGCATATAAAGGCCGCACCAGCCCATGTGCACTGTCCCTTAACCACCCGAACCATTTAATACACATTGTTCGTTTATATAATACAAAAATTATTTTACGATGATGTCGATCTTTTATCTTTAGTAGAAGAGGTCATAATTACTCTTAATTGTCACATGAAAAAACATACATCTATAAAATGTGCCCAATTTAAAAATAACATATTGGTGACTTGAATTGTCCTTCTGAAAAAATTGGTATGGTTATGTGGATCCGGTTGAGTGAACCTTAGAATAAAAAATTAAAATAATTAAAAAATTAAAATAAAAGTAGGGTCGTTTCGAACCGGTTTTTTGATAAAACCGACGGACTCGCTGATTCTGTCAGAGAATCGGCCAATTTACAAAAGTAAAGTATGATTCTGTCAGATAATCGGCCAATTTACAAAAGTAAAGTATGATTCTGTCAGAGAATCGACCAATTTACAAAAGTAAAGTAGTTCATAGAGGGAACCGATAAGTTATGAATAATTTGCACATCTCGCTGACCAGTGCATCTATTCCGGATCACCTGTTTTTTTACGCCTTGGATGTATCACGAAATTTAACAACAATTGTTTCAAAAATTTGTCAACTGGCACACTATGCCACCGAAATTGACATGCGACGGTGAGAGGGGAAATTGTGCTTCTTTACGTTTTTGCCTACCAATGGCTGTTCTTCTACTTTCCCAAGGAAACGATGTAAACTTTCTTTGTTCAAACGCTTTAGTTTTGGAGAGAAATTTGCAAATACATAACCACCACATGGTGCGCCATATAATCGCACATGTCGGTCACCATTTGTTTATTGATTAGTAACGGTGAGAGACCACAAATTTACAGCAGTTTACAAATAATCAGCACCGTTGGTCTTGCAAAATAAAACGTGGAATGATCCAGTGAATGTTATAGATACCTATCGTATACTATACAAGTAAGGGGCAACTCTAAATTGATACCTATCTTATCCTATACAAGTAAGGTGCAACTCTAAGTTTATAGAAGATGCAGTTTTGGTGTAGAAACCTTGTAATAGTTTAAAAAGCTAGAGTAATTTACGTACGGATATATAAAAAAAAAGAAGGAAAATACAAAATGGGTCAATTTAGGTAAACATTATACCGAAGGTTCGGTCTTCCCATAGTTTTTAATTTTTTTTCAAAATTACCCCTCAGTTCGACTTTTTTTGTTTTTTTGGTTTTTTTAGTAAGGTTCACCTGGCTCAATCCAAAGAACGGTCCAAGGTCCTCATCGTCGGATTGCTTTAGAATTGATTCAGGGCTTAGGGCTCAGTCCTAGAGCGGTTCGAGGTGCCCAACATTGGACCACTATGGAACTGAGCCCTATTAATGAAAAAAATAAAAAAAAAGAAAGTAAAAATAAAAAACAATATGAGGATGACATCTTCATATTGAGGGACAATTTTGAAAAATAAAAGAAAAGGTTGACTGAATTTTTTTTCCTAAAATTTACCTAATTTATATTTTTCTTTTGCTTCGTCCTTACGTAAATTACTAAAAAGAGTATATGCTCAACAGGTCTATAAGTACAAAGAAAATCTTGAAGATATACTGTTGTTACAAAATGAGTTATTTTTAGGATTTAAAATATTTATTTTCTTTTTCCTTATATCCATACATCGGGAATCGAGATGATGAATTGGACGGTTTTCCAAATTCATAACACTCATTTCTACGGGATTATTGAGAGTCATCTTACTTATGTAATACAAAGTTACAACCCTATATAATATTTTTAAAATAAAAATACAGGCGGTCTAATACACACTACTTATAACAACAAGAACACTTAAGATCAGCGTTTTAAAAAACGCCGAGTCGACTCGACTCGAAAATCGTGAAAAGGGACCGGATCGCCCAAAAAATCGGAAATCGTCCGGTTCTAGAGAGAACCAGACGATTCTGTACAGTGAATTGCCGATTCGCTGTACGGAATCGGCGAGTCCGAACAGTGAATCGGCGATTCCGTACGGAATTTTTTTTTTTTTTTTTTTATTTTTATTATTATTATTTTATTTTTTTTTATTTTTTGTAATCCATGATCGAATTTTTTTTGTTTTTTTGTAATCCATGATCGAATTTTTTGGTTTTTTGTAACCCAT